CGCTCAGCCGGGGGCAGCAGCACCGGCATGGTCCTTGCTTGGTGCTGGGCCTGGCCGGGCTCCCCAAGGCGGAGGAACCAGCGCGCCTCCAGCCGACCCGGACTCTCCCGGCCTGTGGAGTGAGAGGTCCAGCGTCACCTTGGCGACGCGCACAACACAGCGGCTGGAGTTCTGACGTGGGGGAGGGGACGGGCAGGGAGCGGGTGGGATGCAGGCTTCGCTTTGGAGTCAGGCAGAGCTTTCTTTGGCGTTCCTGCTCCTTGAGAAAGCGGATCTTACTTATCTTGCTGTTGCTTCTTCTTCTTCTTCTTTTTTTTTTTGAAAGACGTAAAGCAAATCCAATTTGCAGACGATATGACCTTGCATGTAGAAAATCCTAAGGCATCCAGTAAATACTATTGGCACTAGTAAGTTTAGAACGTTGAAAGAGACAAAATTGGTATGCAGATATCAATTATATTTAAAAACTATACCAAAAGTAAAATTAAAGAAACGATTCCATTTATAATAGCATCAAGAAGGATAGGATACTTTAGAATAAACATTTTCGGGCAAAATGGCCCTTACTGCCACTCTGAACATATCCTGAGCACTTTCCCAATCCAGAACTTACAGCTTGTTCTCTCTGGAATACTCCCTTCCATGACTGGCTCCTTTTCAATTTCAGAGCCTGTTTACATATTTTACAGGGATTTCCCCTAACATGATGACTAAGCCCTATTCTCTTCCATCACTCAGGATTTTTCGTGCAAGTCACAGAGAAAAGATGGCCCCGAGGTCAGACTGCATCCCCCCAAATTAAAAACAAATAAAACATTGATCCAGCTATACCTCTTCTGGGATCTTCCCAAAAGACTCAAAGTCATATTATAGTGATACATACATACCCAGGTTTCTAACAGTACAACTCACAATAGATAAATCTTGGAAATGGTTTATATGTCCATCAACAGATGAATGAGTACAGAAAATGCAGTATATATACACAGTACTAGTCAGCCACAAGGAAGGATAAATTTGAGTCAATAGTAGGGAAATGGATGCCCCTTGAGGCCATAATGCTAAGCAAAATAAATTAGACACAGAAAGTTAATATTATATAGCTTCTTTCACGTGAGAAACCCAAAGTATAAATAAAGAGCCAAATAAAAGTGAGGTAGACATTTTACAGATTGGAGGGGAATCTAGGATTGGAGGAAGAGGGGAGTAAAGGGAAAGACAGGAGAAGAGGAATAAGAAGGTCTAGGATGTGGTATGTATATATACAACAACTCTCCAGGCTTAATGTGTTCATTGTGTATTACAAACATATATATATATATATATATACGTATATATATATAAAAGAATAAGCAAAGCGAAGGTGGTAGGTCTTGGGGATGCTGTGGCTATAATTACTGACAACTAATCTGTGTCCGCTTTCCCCAGAGGGTGTTGCTCCTGCAGCTGTCCCCTGTGGTTCTGCTTCTTGTTTGTTTAGACCCCAAGTTCTGAGGTGGCTTCACTTGATTGGCTGTCTGTCTCATATGGCAATGCCTAGCTGTAAGGGAAGCTGGGGGAAAGAGTGGGGGAGGGGGAAGCGGGCCGTGAGTCATGGCTGAACTTCCTGTTTCTATCACGGAAAGAAGACTATATGTCTTACCACTTCATCTCCTAGGAAGCAGATCAGAGTCTGGGGAAAATGAAAAGATATCTGCTCACCCCCTCCATCTTCTATATTTCTCCATCAGATCACTTTGTTTCTTTCCTTCTAGCAGAGGTCTCTCAAACTTAGCAGGTATAAAAGGAAACTTTTGACAAATCTACTTCAATTTCTTCCCACTCCTAGTGTTCCTTGACTTGATGTTGATCCATCTACCCTAGCTGCTTATGTTAAAAACTTCTGCTTGCCCTACCTTTAAAATTCATCCCCAATGAGATCATTAGAATCATAATATGTCACTGATCTAGTCTCCTGGCTCACCTTCTTGCTTGGTTTCCTTAAATCTATTTTCCATTACACAGCCAGAGGTGATGTTGTAGAGTACATTACTGTCTTACTTAAACCGTTCATTGAACCTCCTTAGACTTAAAGCCTAAAAATTTTTCTCACAAGGTTCTGCATAATGTGGCTTTTTCCTACTTCCCTGAACTAACTCGCCTTCTATCTCTCACCTGCAGGTCTGCTTACTGTCTCCAGTCCCCCTGGCTATTTTTGTGTTTCTTTCAGAGGTTAGCTAATTCCTACCCTAGGACCTTTGTACTTACTGTTAAGCCTTTGATTGGATTTTTTTCCCCTAAGATTTTTTTTTTTCTGGCTCACTGGCATCTGCTGTGGTCTCCTATGCTTTGGTGTCTACCATGGGTCAGAGGTGTCTTGTCCTTCAAGAGTTCACGGGCTGGAAGCCTGGTCCCCAGTGTGGCAACATTGGGAGGTGTAGAACTTTAAGAGATGGATTCTAGTGAAAAGTAGTTAGATCATTTGGGGGGATTGCTCTTAGAGGAGATGAATGTAGGTATCATGGGATCCTGCTTAGTTCTGCAGTTGTTATCTAAGAGCAAAACTGACCTCTGAATCCTTCTTTGGCTTTCTGTTTTCCATGTGTGCTCTTCTCCATGCAGCCTTTCCTGTGGGAGAAGTTCAAGTCTGGCTGGGCCAGGTGCGCTGCACTCCTGTCTCCTGAGCTAACTCAGAGACCTTGCTAAGGCTGAACTAACTTGCCTAAGTGCATAGATGCTGGGTCCAACAGGCTACACCTCCACCACTAGTCCATGACTCCTTCCCCTCGCCCAAGAAAAATCAACATATTCACACCATCACACTCCTAGTACCTAATGTCGTTATCCAAGCACTGACATCGGATTTAGCCAACTTTTCATTTCCTCTCCCAACCTCGGTTTTGACTTTCTCTATAAGCTCTTGAAGCTCACTTGTCACTCCTGGCTTTGATGGTCCATTTTAGATACTTTGCTAGCCTGACACGCATGCCCTGCATTTAAAGAGCAGGTAAACCATCTCACGCTGTAATTTTAAAGCCTACTGGTCATGCATGGATTGTTAGAGATCTGGAAAAAACCACTGACTGCAGGGCTGGGCCTGACTCTAATTCTCAGGGAGATTCAAAGATGTGTGATAAGTCAGAAATGACCCTCAAGAAATGTGCAGTTGGCCCTGTGGCTGTAGACTCCACATGTATGAATTTAGCCAATGATAAATAAGAAATATCCAGGAGACAGATTGTGTGTATACTGAACATGTAAAGACTTTTCTTGTCATCCCCAAACCATAAAACTATTTCCATAGCATTTACATTGTATCCAGTATTGTAAGGAATCTAGAGATGATTTAAAGTCTACCAGGGGATGAGCATAGGCTCTATGCAGCTACCACAATATTTTCTATGAGGCAGCTGAGCACACAAGGATTTCAGTATCTGGACAGGGACTTGGAACCAGTCTCCCACGAATATTGAAGCAGGACTTTACACATAAACCCAAGGGTTGAAGAAATTTCCTATAACTCTTCAAGCCCAGATACCTCTCTAAAGTATCAAAAAAGCCTGCTTTTATATTCTGAAAGGAATGTATACACATTGTGTAAAAAGAGTAAAAGGTAAAAATAAAAAGGATTGTACTATCCAGACATAACTATTATGAATATATTCTTCATTGTACTCTATCTCTACCTATAGTAGGGGTGTGTGTGTGTGTGTGTGTGCGCGCGCTTGCATGTGTATGCATGTATAGTTATACACATCTCCTTACTCCAACCTCCTTAAATATTTCTAACTCAGGCCAATGGAGGAATGAATATTTCTTTGTGAAATTAGCTCTGTGGTTTTTATAATAAAGGATATTTTTGAAGACATTGCTTTTTGCACTTGTCTTTCCCAGGGTCGCCTGCATATACATATATGTATGTATAAATATCATGAATGTTGCAGGGTAGGGAAGAGAAGAACTCTGCCCTTGGATGAAGCAGAATGAGACTGCAGGGTGAGTAAGAAAGGAGAACCTTTTAAAACTTCTAGCTGTTCTTTCCTCTTTCTCTTTTGGTATTGCAGGGAGATGCCCTTCGCTCTGCAGTCTTGGCAGGTAATTATCAGAGACCCCTTTTTAGGTTCCCCAATGTCTTCCCTTCTGGGGCACCAGCTTCTACTTTTAGTAGGTGCCCCCCTTTCTCTTGGAGATAATCACATCAGTTGGTCTCTTGTTCCAGGGGGATATGACCTAGAATCTGTTTTGTCTTTGAGAAACCAGGTCGCTTTCCGGGTGGAGGTGTCCGGAGATGGTGGGAAGCCCCAGGCTGTGACAGGAGGATATTCCTTGTTCTCCCTGGTCGCCTCCTGCGAAGGTGGTGACTCGGCTGGTCAGTGAGTGACAAGGACTGGCCCACACGCCTGACCCCATCAGTTCCCTGAAATGTCTCAGGCAGAGGTCATCAGTGTCCTACTGCAACAGACAAATTCCATAGCATCTTTTCCATTCCATTCATCCTACTTGACCACTAGCATTGGGAATCATTGACCTTTTGGAACTCGAATTCCTTCTACTATACTATTTTGTACTTCCTCTTTATCTTCTCTCTCTCTCTCTC